GATAAAGAGATTGTCAGCACTGAATAATATTAAATTATATGGAGAGATAAACAGATGGTCAGAACTAGAAGATACCAAACTAAATTGATGGATAAATATAATTCTGAATAACAACTTGTGTTCAGGGAAATAACTTATTGCTTTTACTGAAACCTGTCTAGTCTTTATGTTATGCTTTCAGTACATTCTCAAACTATGATTAATTTCCATTTGAAAATTTCAATTGTTCCACATAAGCTTTGTTTTGGGGACACTTACCATAGCAACAGTTCATCTTCAAAACATGCATGTGTAACAGTATATGAATAACCTTCATAAATATGAAGTAGTGTAATAGTATGTCTGCTTCTCTCACAGCTCCTTATGGAGATCACATGACAGTTATTCTAGTTTACTGTGCATATTTAATGATGGAAAGTGTTCAACACTGTCATGCACAAAGCTGATTTCCAAAATAATGTATCTTTGTTTAGGTCAAGTGGAAGGAAGGAAGGAAATGGAAATGCAAGCACAAAGCAAACATTAATTAGTAATGGTATTAAGGTGTTTCACATTTGTGTGTGTATTGCAAAAAATAGACTATCATCTTAGCTTGTTATGATGTTTGGAATGGTCACAGTCCATAAATTGCAATGCATGCAGATACAAATACAGGTTTTATTGATATTAACATGTGAGTGGTTTTGATTAATATGTGTGAGTCGTAATTCAGAAAGGCTAGCAAAAGAAGAAAAATTACCAATTAACATATAAACATGAAATTAAGCCTTTAGGTCATCTTCTTTTGAACTCTACACTTTCCTCCCCTACACACACACAAACTATCAAAACCCAGATTTTGTGTTTGTGTGGCTTGATGCATATTTATTAAATATAATACAAGCTAGGAGTATAGAAACAACTAAAAAAAAAGAATCAATTGGTATGACACATAACCAAAATAGAGAAAAGGGATGACTTCTAAATTAATGAAATTTAAAGCTATATGTAATGTTATTGATTGAAAAAAAATACTAACATGAATGTCACAAAGTCAAGTAAATGTACAAAGCAGGAAAGCTTGCACTTGTATGTAAGTGTATATTCACATACACAGTTACGAACATGTATATTGGTGTAAGATATATTGCTATAAATAAGTATGTACAATAGAAAGGTTTATTAGAACGTCACTTAGAAATAACCTGTGGTCAATATCCTGTAGAAATTGTGCTAAATCATAACTTTGAATTTTTTAAAATGAAATGCATATTAAAAAAACAACATAAATTCATATGAAATTCAAAACAGCAGTATTAAATAATAACGTTTTACATCTGTATCCTTGTCTTCCACAAGCCACTGCCCAGGATTTCAGGGTTACTTAAAAGAAATGTGAGATAAGCCTTATTGCTTCACCTGCTTAGATGTGTAACACTGCTACATATCATGATGGGTCTGTAACATTAATGTGAAAATTTCTTGTGTGAGTATATCTTACATACAAGCATTGAAATATTGGAAGCTGTTAGAATTTGTGTGTGTGTGATAGTAAATAAGTCCTCAGTAGAAGCATTTGATATGATTATTACCAGAATATCTTCCAAGAGGTAGGGCTACCTTTTTATATATGACAAAAATGTATCTTGATGTAAAAACATAAGTCACTTGTTTATTGAATATAGTTATGGCTCAGTGTGCAGTGGTAATAATATACATTATGAACTGTTAAGTGGTAATGATATAACTTATGAAATGTACAGTGATTATGATATATGTTATGAAGCATGCAGTTGTTATGATATATGTTACGAAGCATGCACTGGTGAGGATATACATTATGAAGTGTGCAGTGTTAACTATATAAATTACTATGTGTGAAGTGGTAATGATATATGGTATTAATATTTTGCATTTATATTTGTCTGCTTTAAAATTAATGTTTGCCTTTTTTTATATTGAAGCTGAGCTTATTAAACTTCTTGTGGACAGATATGTTTGTCATAAAGTAGTTTACTAAAGCCTTCCTGGGGATTCAGCAGTAAGCTTGAGGGCATGTAGTGCAAAATTTGATGTTTCATCCCTGCTCTGAGCACAGTGCAGATATCTCACTGCACTTTTTTGTATCTAAAAACAATTATTAGCCAAAAAACATATTTTTTTAATTGGAAAAGTTTTAAATAAAATTATGTTTTCAGTTTCTTGAACATCCACTGCGTATATTTCTGTTAATGCGCCTTTTATTTATACGTTTTCTTTACTTATGAAAATTAGCCTGCGCATTTGAAATAAACTGAGTTTCTGTTGGTTTTTGTTTAAATTCTTGTTGTATATGTTACGATAGCTTGATCAATAGAGTACTTTAGAGTTCAATTAAATAGTTTACAATAGTTATTTTCAAGTACTGTAAATGTAATGAAAGGAAATAAAAATATTTCGACAAATAACGTGGTTAAACACTTCTCGATTAATATCAGAAAAACAACGAGACCTACAGCTCCATGTTGTGTGTCTGACAAGGGGTAGCAGTCAACGTTTGTTGTGGTTGCCACCTGAATAGTTTGTCAAATCAATCCATGTTGCCATAGTGCCCGTGATGTCAGACCAAATTGTGTAACAGATTTCCCATGTTATATCCATTATATGCCATGTTTGTATAAATAAGTACACAGAGAGAAGGCTGTGTATGTTAATTCGACGTCACAAATTCGTGTTTACGTTTATGCACTGTTTGTTTGGTGAATTCTTGTAAACGGGGCGTGGTTTTACTTGCGTTATAATTAACTTCTAGATGTAACACCAAGACTATTGTTGTGTATTAAATGTTCAAATAGTTGTGTTTTAGTATGTCATGTACTGGCACGTGTATTGTTTTATCCATAAAATTGCAACTACAGAAATTTAATACAGCGATCATCAGGCCAAGCATGTTACAGGGGTGAGTAGTTTTGGCCTACGGTGAAACTATACGTTTACAGTTTGGCCTATCTCATTTCGTAAATTAAGTTCTTTATCTATTGTAGCACCAAGCGTAATTTTATAAATGTTACACATTTATTTATTTCTATTTTACACACTTGACGTTTAAACCAATTTCCGGTGAAAGAAGACTCTTTTCTGTTTCCTTTTTCGAAGTCAGACATAATTGTTCCAATTTTGTTTAAAACCCTATATATATAAATTATAATTAACGTGGCTAGTGTGTAACAATATAAATAAAAAATTGGGAATTTAAAAATCTGTAAATAGGGATCGAAAAAAGTAAAGAAACAAGGCTGGAAATACTGTACACGTTATTTACGCAAACTACAAATCCATATTTTGATTCCATCAAATGTAATTCTAGGTATCTTTGCCCATAGTTGAGCATAAAAAAGCCAGCAAACAAAATAAATAAAAAATTGGGAATTTAAAAACCTGCAAGTAGGGATATGTATTGATTTGTTTATACTCCTTCACTTCATGCATAATATAGGCGTTCTAAAGACACCGATTATGTAGTGTAGAAAGCATTAAGTACCTCCATGTTACATTTATGTAATTGTTCATCTATCACTGGCTTGTTTCACCATGTACTTAAGTTTTTAAAGGAATAAGAGATATTTGTAAGAAAGTTAAATTCAACGGGTAATGATAACATCGTTTACACCAGAATTATAATGGTTTTAGCTTATGTAAAATATAGAAGAAGCAAACTGACTTTTAAATTCCCCCTACGACCTTTGCAGTACATTATTTAGTATTGTACAAAAGGTTTGGGTGTAATATACTGTTACGACAGCGGAAGTCACGCAATTCTGGGAGCATGCGCGCTGGAGTTTCTCGAAGGATCACGAATTTTCCTGGCAACTATAGTTTGTTCCAGACGCCCTCTTTTTTAGTATATAAGCCCGACAAATAAAGCCAACGAAAAAAAAATATAGAATTGCATAGATATGATAGATAATTGAGTCAAGCGAACAGTAGGCACAGTAAGTAAAGTGTGTGAATCACTGTGATTTATAGCGTGTGTTATAAAAGCAGTTAAGTTGAACATACTGATTGGAAATTCTGTGTATTACAAAGTTGTATCAGGAAGAATAAACTAGTTTAAATTAAGAAATGACTTATATCACTGAAGTTCCTCGGAAAGAATTTATTCCTGAAATTAACAAACGAGTAGAGATGCAACACTAATAATCACTACGGCCCACAAATTTGTTTTTAATAAAGTGTTAATGTCATTATCATTAAGAGTTAAAAAGTTATACACAAACGTTTACAAAAAAAGGCTTATGGAAATATTACACATTAATATTTATAACAAATTTAAAATAAAAGTAAATTTTAAAAATGGACAAATAATTACAAATAATATGGATAATTATTTTCATTATGTTGACTACATTTAGAATATGCTTTAACGTAATAAAATGACAAATAATTCTATTACACTAGATGTACTGTGGAGCTGCGTTTATTCGTTGTTATTTTTAAAATGAATTATTTATCTAAAAGTTTAAAATCAATAAATAGATGGCACTATACGATATTCACCTTTCCCATACAATGTTTTAAAATACTCCATATGCCAGATTCATTTCTGGAAAATACTGGAACAGGGAGACGACACCTATAAATAAAGAATAATATCCTATTGGATTTGTTTACATGACCAGAGAAAACATTAGTACACACGCAAAAATTAAATCAATATTTTTCCCTCATTGAATACATGGAAATTGCAATGCGCCATGATGCATAAATACACATATTCAAATTAATATAAATTCCCAGCATTACTCCTTTTAATTAATTTGCAAAAATATAGAAATTATGAAATTAAGTTAATATCTATCCCACATATTTCTAAAACTAAGCAAACCTGTTAGAAAGAAGTTTCAAAACGAATAAACTGTACAGTATTAGATGTTACGTAAATACAGGTACAGTCTAAATAAAATCTAATCTTTCTTAAACCGAAACAATGAACTTTAAATGTAAACTTTTAATGTAGTTAGGACTAACAACTTTTATTGTTGCTGTCATATATACTAGTTTCTTAAATGAATAAATTTTGCACACATGTTATGTTGCTATTGCTTTGCGGGATTACTCATTAAATTATATTCATACATTTGAAGTTAAATATCTAACGGATGATAAATTTGTAAAAATTGGCGAATCCATAAAAATTCTACCTTACTTGTAGTTTTATTATAATGCTTCTAATAACAAGCAAACGAAGTTCGTATGTGAACCTCGACTAACCTAACATATTTATCTCTATGACATCTAAAAAACTTTCAATTTAAATAAAGACCGATATGTAAAATAGCTTACATGCTGTTTTCTCCTACATTTAATCAAACATTTCAGAGTTTCAATCAACTATAAAGATATAAATAAGTTTTTCGTTTCTAAATTTTTATTATGGGATACCGTAACTTTAGCCTGAATAATATCTGTATAAGGGTTAGGATAGATAGATGAATATAGATGAGCTTATAGATTTCGGATTGCTTTAGGTGGGAAAGTTTTCCTTTCAATGTTCGGATTTAAATACATGTACATATTAATACCCTTTAACAACGATGTAATGTATTAATTTCACCAAGACAATCTACAACATAAAGTTTAATCCTTACAAAGTTGTAAATACTAATTCAACTAAAAAAAAAAGCAGTTCAAACTGGTTTCTTTGAACCGCTTGCAAAACTGTAGAATTTAAATTGACCTAATGCTTGTGGAAAAAATAGACAATTACCCTACTAATGTCTAGATATTATTAAATCACACGCTTGATTAAAACTAGATTAAATTAATGCGAATGTATAGGATTACATCTATATTAAATCAGCTGTAAGTTTACAGACAAACAATATTAAAATCCTGGGTTCAATTCCCCATAGTAAACAGAGCACAGACAGCTGGTTTTGTTCCTTTGCGCTAAAAAAATCAACTATCTTCAGTATGAATTATATGGCTTCGAAAATATTTGGAATTTATATTCATAGATCACGAAAGTAGTTCGGCAATTTAGTGATTGGAGACTCCACACACAGTAAGTATTCCTCCACAATTGCGGGTGGAGGAATAAGTCAGAAACGTAGCTATAATTACAGGAAAATAAATGTAGGGGTCCCAATTACTTTTTTATGCGCGGGGAGGGGGCAATTTTGTAGTTATGCCACTGCCTACACATATTCCAATATATCAAATATATAATGTTACATATACGTGTGTATACACACACACAGCTTTGTTATCTTCAAATTAGAAATGTTTATACGTTTACGTTCTCATAAGGTATACTTAATTACATCCGTGACAGAATACAATAGAAAAAGAATAAATTCATAAAGCCTGACTTTTAATTTCCTGTCGACATTAGTATGAAATATTTTTGTAATGTTTAATTTCTGATAGTAATTTCCTCCCGTAACCTTCATGTTCAGGAACTAGCAGAGAGAAAAAAAAATACAAGATCGGAAATTAGAAGTAATGATAAATATACGTTTTTTCTGCCACGGCTATGAGAGAGAAAATATTTTCGTTGCAGAGATACTAATGTAAAGAACCGCCTCAGCTTGCGTCAGAATCACAATGATCAATTCGTAAGAACATTTAATCATAGCTCTGCGTGTGTCCATCGCTGTGTAAGGTTACAATGAATGTTTCTTTATTGACCAGATCATGCTAACAGGCTCAAAATGTCAGATGTTGGTAACTCTATAATTACTTCCTATTCCACAACTATAAAACCGAGGTGAAGATTGATGGTCAGATATCGTTATAAAAACTGCAGAAAAGAGGAAAGAGAACAGCAGACATTACTGGTTTGATTGTTGATTAAATATATATTTTACAGATTTTTCTTTCAATCTCACCAAAGGTAAAATTGAAAGGAGAATATGTGACGCAGAAGCCTAATGTTTTCCCTGATTGGCCGTACCCACTGCTGTGGAATGCAGTTTCGCCTATTGAATCCTCAACAATACAGCTTGGGCTGGGAAATCAAAGAAATACAGTTAAGCCTGTTATAACGGTGATTTGTATACAACATTAATGGTTTTTTTAAGTCCTTTTCAATCATCAATAAAGTAACAAAATAATTTAGGTATTTGAATAATGTTAGAGCTCGTGCCTAAATCTTTATTCTACATTATATATATCGGACCAACTATTTAATGATTACATATACATGTTACAGATTTTTCTTTCAATCTTACCGAAGATTTGATTGTTGTTAAGCACAAAGCCATCTGTGCTCTGCCCACCGCGGGGATCGAACCGAAATTTTAGCTTTGTATGCAGTGAAACTTACATCTGAGCCACCGGGGGAGGGGGGGGGCTGCAGATATTCCTATTTTGTCTGCGGTGAAAGTTTATTATATATATTTATCTGTATAGCGTAAGGGTTAAATTTGTTATTTAAGTATCTTACTTGTACACGTTCCTGTAATGCATTAGTATTAAACTGAATAATGGATGCAATACAGTGGCATTCTCACTTGGATTCCAAGTTATATTATCGGGTTTATTAGGGTTAATATTAGCACAACATAGCATTGAAACTGAACAAATTATAAGCCTTTTCTGTGAGAAAAAAAAATCAAACTGAGAACATCTTCCCGTTTAGACTACAAGATTGCTAAACCTAATAATAAACAGAGCTGGCCACGTGAACAACTAGCATCCTGCTTGGGTTTGTGTAAAGGTTACGAGTTAAGTAATGATGTTTTTTTGAGAAGAAAGAGAAAAAAAAGACTCTTTCATACTTTTATGCTAGGTTTTTTGGGCATTGAGAATTTGTAGAATTAGTAATTGTTCTACAGATAGAGTTTAAGTTCCGGAATAATCAGGTTATAAAACTCACCTTATTTACGATTTATATTATGAATCTACTGATTTTCATTTGTAGAATATTTACGCCTAATTGTTTTAGTATTATTATTTCAATGTGTTATTTTGCTATGTTTGTCTACAAATAATTGTTCTTATCGAAACAGATACATGATATAACTATGTAATGAAACAGCATATTAAAACTGTAAATAACGAAACATCTAAACATGTACACATTAGTTGAGCAAAAATGTATTACCGCTGGGGCGTTGAATATTCTAATGTTGATAAAATGAAAATAAATACACCAGCAAAAGTGTGCGTGTGTCTTATAGCAAAGCAACATCGGGCTATCTGCTATGTCCACCGAGGAGAATCGAATCTTGATTTTAACGTTGTAAATTCGTAGACTTACCGCAAAAAGAGGTAAATGCTAAATTGACCAATGTCTCAACCATAGGCTAACGGAGGATTTTTCAGAGAGGGCGTTTGTACAATTTTTGCCCGAATGTGTTTACGAGTAAGAAACTTCTGCTACCAATTTTTCTCGAATGGAGATGAAAATTGCCCGAATCGCCATATTTTCTGCTTCTAATTTTGCCCGAATGAAAACTAAAAATTTGCCCGAAAGGCCGTCTGTATTGCAAGCTAGGTGTGGGGGCTGCCGCCCTTTTACACTCGTAATCCTATGGTTTTAACTAACATCGTCATCGTTTCGAAGAGTCTGTTAACACCTCGTAGTCACATGAACACGAAGGAATATGCCAAATGATGGCGTAATGAAAATGTTTTTACAAGGGTAATAATGGCGTGAAAAATGCTGCCGGACTGCATCTCGATTCATTAAATGCTAGTGGTTCATGGCACTATGCCAAACTTAATAAAAAAAGAATTTATAATATTCTGGTAAAGTAAGTAGAAATGTCGATAATTTCAATCTTCTTCCATTTAATGTTATGGTCGGTTAACGATATATGATCAGTAATCGCAGAATCCAACTACAGCAAAAACGTTAAAAAAGGGGAAAATCTAATACGGCCTGGAAAATTGCATCTTAAAGTAGTTTTAAAAAAATCAATGTTATAAGATATATTCATGCGTCTTGTTGCGAGAATGCATAGGTGTTTCGTCATATGCTACCCACCTTGGAAAGAAAGTGTCCCATTTCGTCCTATCTCTTGTTTTTGTTTTGTTTGTTTGTCTTAGAACAATACCACATCGGGCTATCTGCTGTGCCCACCGCGGGGAATCGAACCCTGGATTCTATCGCTATAAGTCCGTAAACTTATCGCTGTCCCACCAGGTGACGTTCATTTTTCTGTTTTAAATCTTAGGTTAAGGTTTGGTTACAGTTTTGTATAATTATGTGACAATGTTCCCCGCCGATAGTGGGCCAAGGTTTGTGGTGGAAGTACAAACTATGAGATATCTTGAAATAATTGTAGGCAGACAACAGACTTCGATGTGTGATGAAATGTTCTAGATATGCTATCGGGAAACTGGTCTATGCACCAGATGACGTGGACAAGGTTATGGGAGGTATTTTATACCACTTACCGACTCACTATCTTCTCAAATGTTGGCAGTAGAAGACGTCGGTGACATGGAATCAATATGGACTTCAAGACAGCAGTTGTGACAAAAATAATTACTTCAAACAAGAAAACTGAACCTATCATGACCAGAAAGCGTCGAATCATCAGGTGAGTACTCTCGCTATTAACGATATTTTCTGCTGTTATCCAAATAAGATATACCTCACGAGATTCGACCAGTTTAAAAGAT